CGCTGGTATTTATATACTAAACTCAAGTCTGCACTAATAGGTAACAAGTTTAAGGGCGCTACCAATATTACTCCAGTGGATTATTGTAACATGTTGAGTCTAGACTTTGATCCCCAAGCTTAAGCTAGTTGCTCTACCTGCTTCACTATTATTAGCTGAAAAACACAGTGAGAGTCAAGCAGAATGCAGAGAAAGACAGATAAGTCCACAGGTGTGAATGTTTCTCAGACCGGTCATGAAGTTCAGGGCACAAGAACAATACTGGAGCAGCAGTGGGCCTTCCAGTTCTGTGGCTCTCAGTGGTATGATCCCCAAGCTTAAGCTAGTTGCTCTACCTGCTTCACTATTAGCTGAAAAACACACAGTGAGAGTCAAGCAGAATGCAGAGAAAGACAGATAAGTCCACAGGTGTGAATGTTTCTCAGACCGGTCATGAAGTTCAGGGCACAAGAACAATACTGGAGCAGCAGTGGGCCTTCCAGTTCTGTGGCTCTCAGTGGTATGTGCTTTCTGTCCAAACACACAGCTCAAACAATACTGCTGAATGAGTGAAGATCAACAGATCACAAGTGATATAGTTGTTTTATAAGTAAATGTGTAAAAATACACAACTGTACATTGATAATAATCCGAAATGTTTCTTGAGCAGAAAATCAGTATATTAGAATGATTCTGAAGGATCATGTGACACTGAAGACTGGGGTAATGATACTGAAAATGTTATGTTTAGCTACATTTGCAACCCTGTTACTCATTCCAGTGTACTTTTGTCATTTTACACATTTACTTATAAAAGTTTAAGTTGAGTGTTTGGACAGAAAGCACATACCTATGAAAGTATGTAAAATAGAAAACCATTTTTATATATATTTCACAATATTACAGTTTTTAAAAAATATATATAAATTCGGATTATTTTAATTATTAGAGTTGAGGAGGACAAGACCAGTTAAGGTCAGACTAGCTAAAATCAGGAGAATAATTGTATATATTTAAAGCTACTTATGCTATGTTGTTATTATTATTTTTGGTAGTTTATCGAACATCTCAATAGAGCTCATTCCAAAAAAAACGGATTTGTGCTTCTGTTGCTTAGAAATGTGAAGGGGCACTAACTTACCCTATTCATACAAAGTTATTTCAACCACTGTGCATCAAAATAAAAACATGCAAACCAGAGAGTGTAAAAGAGCAAAATGTGACTTTAATAAACACCTGCCATTTTGACACTTCAACAGTTTTAGCCATGTGGGTGAACAGCTGTGATTAGAGTTCAGTTCAATAAATGAATCTGGTATGAAACAGGGTGACCCACACATCTGTAGAGTTAACCTGTTTGAATTAGTGGGGCTCTTCACAGAGCTGGATTACACACATCACCATTTAACCACAGTATCAATGCACTGCTATGGTCAGTTTCAACAGTTTTTGGGGTTAAACTTGGTGTTTGCTGTAATCTAACTTTCTAAAACATTCACCTAGTTTAGTAGTACAGTGTTTTTTTTTTCCGTTCTTTCTTTTTTTACTATTTGGCCTAAAAAAAAACTCGGCTGTCGACATGAACCGGTTTGGCTCAGGCTAACTAATAAATGTATCTTGGCATTAGCTGCTTTAGTCTTTACCAAAGACTACGAGAGATTATCGGACAAGGTGTTCACTTATTCCTGCTTGTTCCCTTTACGTGAAGACATTCTGTGTGGTTGGAGACCAGCACACGCAGCTTGAGTTGTCTAGAGAGACTCTCTTTCCCTTTCGTGATTTGGCAGCATTCGGCTTACGAACGTCTAATGTCACTGTTAGAAAGTCATTGTTAGAATGAATCTCTCTAAATATTATTTTTGGATAATTTGTTATTTCCCCAAATATGTTAAAAAAAAGACGGTCAACAAATACATTTAAAAATTCATTTCAAATAGCACAGGTATGTAGGTGAGTGAAGCAGCTTTTGGTGACGTGTAACTTTGTTAACGGAAGAGCCTCGACTGCATCAGAATCTCAAGATGTAAAAATGTTCAGTTCAAATAATGACTCTTACATGATTTATCAAAGTGCTTATATTTTCCCATATGCCAATATTTGTCATTTTTGTACCATAATGGATGCAGAGCTCTTCCTTCATCACAGACCAGAACATATAAATTCTGACAAAGAAATAACTGTTAGAAAGTCATTGTTAGAACGAATCTCTCTAAATATTATTTTTGGATAATTTGTTATTTCCCAAATATGTAAAAAAAAAGACGGTCAACAAATACATTTAAAAATTCATTTCAAATAGCACAGGTATGTAGGTGAGTGAAGCAGCTTTTGGTGACGTGTAACTTTGTTAACGGAAGAGCCTCGACTGCATCAGAATCTCAAGATGTAAAAATGTTCAGTTCAAATAATGACTCTTACATGATTTATCAAAGTGCTTATATTTTCCCATATGCCAATATTTGTCATTTTTGTACCATAATGGATGCAGAGCTCTTCCTTCATCACAGACCAGAACATATAAATTCTGACAAAGAAATATTCCAGGTTAAACACCAGTTAGTGATGACAAATACAATCGTTTGCTGTCTGTTGTGAATGCCTTTCTGTACACACATTTTTTGTTTGTTTTTACAAACTGAAGTACAAATTTAAATGATTTTTTTGTGGTAAACTGACGCAAAGCCATATATGCTGTGGCTTATAATGAGTTTTTAACACCTTATTAACAGTGAATTTCCATAATTTTTCCAGTCATAATTACTTAAACGTTATTTATAGAGATGGCATTTACAACAACAACAACAGAAAAATTAGCCAATGAAACACTTCAGAAATATAAATATACATTTAGAAATATTTTTTTTTTCTGTAAATATAAATCCACAAAACAATTCCACAACTGTTCAAACGTTTGGGGTCGATTTTTTTTTATTTTTTTATTCTCATACCATGGCTGCATTTATTTGATCAAAAATACAGTAAAAATGTGTTAATAGTTCAAAAGAACAGCATATGACATTATAAATGTCTTTGTTGTCACTTTTGATAAATGTAATGCATCCTTGCTAAATAAAAGTATTAATTTCTTAAAAATAAATTCTTACTGACCCCAAACTTTTGAATGGTATAGTATATTCACTATAGAAATGTCCAAGACTTTTCTATTTTTGTAGATGGTATTAGTTTCTAGTCATCAAAAAAATAAAACAAGAACAAACAAAGTAAATTCCCTGATATTTCTAAAAACCCTTTAACTTGTATTTAACCTGGAATATTCCTTTAAGGTGATCTATTATGATTGGGTTGTCTAAACTTCAAGTGCATGACAAAATTCCCATTTGTGAGAGGGAAAGTATACAGACATCTCCCAACAAACAACTGACTAGTGGATCCTTTGATCTTGCAATAAGGCACTGCTTATAAAACTGGGAAAAGTAGGAGAGATCTGTTCACAAAAAAAAAAAAGCTAAGAAATAAAAATAAAATAAAGCCACTCTGATCTCACCATGCACCGAATAGAGTTAAACACTCTTTTGTAAAAGTTATAGAATACATACATTCATATATTTATATATGAAAACTCTTATGTACAGCTCATAATCCAATGTTATAGCACTCTGTCATACATTTTGCATGCATCAAATGCAAGTCACATTTCTGAAGTGTGAACAAAGCCTCCCTGAGGAGGATTATATCTATATACATCATTGACGCTCGCATGGGACATCATCGCCCCACTCAAGCTTCGCCTTCAAACTCCGGACGCCCCAATTCTGCATTTAGATAGATGGGGCAGCTTTGTCTGTGCCCCTCAGTGTGAGGTAGCAGTTCTCAGTGCAAAAGGATAAAGAAGAGGGTTGGTGAGGCATTAGTCACTGGCCCGTCTGAAGTATTCGCTCTCGCTTGAGGTGGCATCGGGCGTATGTGCATGTGCGTTGGGTAATAGAGTCTGTTTAAGCTCGGACCCAATGTCACAGTCCCCAGACAGGAGCTTTACTGGCCGATGGTAGCTCTCTTCAAGTGAGGGAGGTGTGTCTGACCTAATCACCAACAATCCTGAGAAAGATTAGAAAGGAAGTGATGTCAAAGACTGATCTAATTGTGAAAAACAAGGAATATTATCACTGTATTACGTCAAAGATCAACAATCTGATATAAATCAATCAGAACTGAAATGATCAAATGTGTGTTTTCACAAAGCAGTGGCAGGAATAGTGATTGATGGGGCATGACTGAGTCTTCTTGAAGTTATGGCATGAAAGACTGATGAATCCGTTTCTTCCTCGTTCTCACCTTTTCGGTCGTTGTACTGGTGCGATGAGGGTGATATTGTCACCCTGTCGTGGTTGGTGGGAAAGATGGGAGTTTGGTTGTCTTTCCTGACCCCGTTGGGTGTGCCATTGCAGTGTGGTTCATTGTTGTGGCTGGTGAAAGTTGATGTTTGGTGTGGCTGCTGATACTCCAGGCCTGAAGGGAGCGCTATCCCGTGAGGGAGGTAGTTACAGTGTTTGGAGTAGCTGGTACCGTTTTCCAAGCAGTCTGTGCACACGACTGGCTCATCATAGCCTGAAATGAGAGGAGCTCATTAATCTATGTTAAGTGAAGGTCATTTAAACAGCCAGCTTTTTTTTTTTTTTTTTAAAGTCGGCATGACGTGAAAATTCACCTATTTATTAAATTTGTAAATGCATGTATAGATCTTACTGTGAACAATTCATATGTATTCTTTAAAAAAAACAGTTTTGACCTTGTAATGTTTGGTAATTTAGCTGCCAAGTAGAGCGTATTTTTCTTGCCATTACTCTCCATTAGACTTGTGCCGGTATTCGGTAATGCGATATATCACGGTAATGAATATGCACGATATT